TGCGGGAGGGCAAAGCCGCAGGCTCGGTTCCCCCGCGAGTGCCAGGAGCGGCTGCGGCACGCGCTGCCCCTCGGTGCCTACCTGCTCAAGCCTGTCCAGAGGATCCTCAAGTACCACCTGCTGCTCCAGGTGAGCCGGCGCCTGGCGCGGTGCGGGCATGTGGCATGGCGTGGGCACCTGGCAGGGTACTGGCACCCAGCATGGTCTGGGTGCCTGGCATGGCACGGGGATGTGGCGGAGCATGAGTTCCTGGCACGGTTCAGGCAGCTGATGTGGCGCAGGCAGCCGGCACAGCCCGGGCACCCGGCACAGCACGTTCCCTGGCACGGTCCAGGTACCCAGCTCAGCATGGGTGCCCAGCATGGCACTGCCTGGGCGCCTGGTGTGGCACATTTCCCTGGCACAGCCTGGGCACCCAGCAGGGTGTGAGCTCATGGCACGGCACAGGCACTTGGCACAGTCTGGGGGATGGCATGGCATGGTCACTCAGCACGGCACATCTCCCTGGCACAGCCTGGTCTCCTGGCATTGCATGGGCACCCAGCATAGTCTGGGCACCCGGCACGGTGTGAGCTCATGGCACGGCACAGGCACTTAGCACAGTTTGGGGCGTGGCATGGTGCAGACACCCAGCACGGCACATCTCCCTGGCACAGCCTGGTTCCCTGGCACAACACAGGCACCCGGCATGGCACATTTCCCTGGCACAGTGCACATACCCAGCGTAGCACAGGCTCATGGCACAGCCCGGTCCCTCGGCATGGCACACCCCCGGCACCGGGCACCACAGCCCCGTTGGCGCTGCCCCAACACCGCACCTTTTGCCAACAGGAGATCGCCAAGCACTTTGAGCACAAGTCGGGGGACGACTACGAGGTGGTGCTGGAGGCCATCGACACCATGACCTGCGTCGCCTGGTACATCAACGACATGAAGCGCAAGCATGAACACGCCATCCGCCAGCAGGTGAGCGCCGGCGGCGTGGCAGGTGGCACCGGACGGGCACCACCGCGGCGGCGGCAGGTGACCTGATGCACCCGTCCCCGCGGACTCGCGCAGGAGATCCAGTCACTGCTGCTGGGCTGGAAGGGGCCGGACCTGACCAGCTACGGGGAGCTGGTGCTGGAGGGCACCTTCCGGGTGCAGCGGGTGCGCCACGAGCGCGCTGTCTTCCTCTTCGACAAGACCCTCCTCATCACCAAACGTCGCGGTGATCACTACGTCTACAAGAGCCACATCCCGGTGGGTGCTGGCGATGGGGGGGCCCGATGGGTGCTGGCGATGGGCGACTAGAGGGGTGCAGGGGATGGGGAGCCCGGGGTGGTGCCAGGGATGGGGGGCCCAGGGGGATGCCTGGGGGGCTGACGGCCTCTGCCCACAGTGTTCCTCGCTGATGCTGATCGAGAGCACGAGGGACTCACTTTGCTTCAGCCTGGCTCACTACAAACACGGCAAGCAGCAGCACAGCCTGCAGGTAGGGGGGGCACAGGGGGGGGGGGCCC